CATACATACATAGACATACATACATGCATACATACATACATACATACATAGACATACATACATATACATATACATATACATATACATACATACATACATACATACATACATACATACATGTGAATGCATGCATAAGCGAATGCATATACATATATACACACACATGCATACACACATACATATACATACGTATACGTATTAGTATACATACATATATATATATATATGTAGGTTTATTCCTTTACATATATATATACACACTATCTCTGTGTGTGTTATTGATGACATACTGCCTACTTGGCAGATCATTTACGTGCTCATGCCTGCGGTTATGGTCTCTGTTCACAGTAGGCATTGATGCTTGTGTCTACACTTATCTTTGTCGCTATCGCTTTTATCTGTTTGCATGATCTATACTCGGTCGTGACTCCAGTCATAAACAGGTTGCAAAGTAACGCGTTGTAGGATTTAGGGATTGCCGCTCTGGAGCATAGGTATAAGTGGACACCATATTTGCATGGCCTGCACACGTGCATACCAATCGTTGTCTCAACCCGGCAGATGTGCTCCGATGGATATGGGTGGTTCTCGAAATTGTGGTTCCTTTTAGGCTCTTTTTTACAAGACTGCCGTACTATGTCGACCTGAACAAGGCCCACCCATGTAGTACCCTTCTTGAAACCCGAAAGAAGCCCCAAGAGATCCCGCTACCCACATGCCAAAGGAATCTCTCCGACAGTCCCACGAGTTTCCTGCCGTATGATTTCGAATCTTCTGGCTCAAACAACCAGTAGCTTTGCATTACTATCCTCCTTAAGGTTTAGGGTTTAGGGCTTATAGGGTTATAGTAAAATATACCCCGATACCCCTAAACCTTATTCTAAGTGTAAGTAAGGCCCCTTCAAATCTCAAGACATGGGTACGTCTTATGAAAACACACGAGGACGTTGAAGTGCAACCGTTGCAAAGAAACTTCTAACATCTGCTGCAGTCCAGCGTTGAGCCACGCATTGACACTTGCTGCAGCTGAATCGTTTTATCGTACAGCAGTATAGCACATCTTAGTTTCCTGCGCAAGTCTTCTTCGAAAACCTTGCGTTCCCTGGCTTTTCAAACGATGCTGATGTGCGTAGATCAACATCCCCCTTGCAATCCATAGTAGATAACGTTCAGGCAAGTCCACATTCTCATGATCTTGCCAAAAATGTCACACGTAAGCCTTGCTTCGCACAAACACAGTTCCTGCAATTCACTCCTACAAACGTCATATTTGGAAATACACATGCCTTGGCACTGAAAAGTGACGGCATAGTAACCCTTCTGGAGCCCTTAAAAGATCTATTCTACCTATTCAAGCGCCCCAAAACAGCTCTACAGTGGTCCATTACAATGAGGACTCCTGCGGGGAGCGCCATTTCGAACAGCCCCAGAAGCATGAACCATACACTGGTCCCCAGCCCGAGGCGCTGAAGATCACCCCTACACCCACACACTCTAAACCCCGTTATCAACTCTAAACCCTAAAACGGTTTAGGGTTTAGGGCTTATCGCCCTCCAAACGAGAAATCATGAGGCCTGATCTCGACATGGTGCATGAGCGGCTTGCCACCATGATCTCCCTGGCTCTTCGCAAAGGTTTAGAGCTTAGGGCTTATAGGGCTTTTCGGGTTTAGGGCTTGAGGTTGGTTTAGGGCGTAAGGATTTGATGGTTTAGGGTTTAGGTAATGCTTTGCCGGTTTAGGGTCTACTTGGAGGTTCATGGGTAAGTGTAAGTGGGGCTACAAGTAGGATAAGATACTATACTTATAAACCGAATTTGGGGACTTATAACTTATAACCCTCCTTATAACTACCCATCATCGAGCACCTTCTCCACCCCCGTGCGGACCAACACATCGATGCTTTTCAAAGAACCCAATTCTCGCTACCCAGAAAGCCTCATGCCCCTACCTACAAAACGATATACCTCAATATAATTCAGGAATCTGCTCTATTCAGGAATGTACCCCCCAACATAAAACCAAGATCAGAAACATGCCGTCAAAAGAGTATACGTCACTACAACTGACTACAATCACAGCGAGCAAACCCCTAAACTAACTTTCTGGCTTCTACTTTTTATGCTATCAGGTCGGCCCCATGATATGAGGACGAGGTACTTAGCGGATCCTGGGGCTCAGTAACTAGGGTTCTTATTCGGGTACGTATATTTGTAGTTACTTCTAAATCCAGTTCAAGTACGTATAACCTTACTTACTAAGTCCTGTGGGGCTGCCGCTGAGGCTTGGGGCTTCAAGGTTTGGGGCAATTGAGGGTTTAGGCTTTAGTAATGGGCAATTGAGGGCTGAGGGTTTAGGGCTCTTGGGGTTGGGATGATCAGATGAGCTCAGCGTCTAGATGAAACTCTAAAGCCCTAGGCTGTTTCAGCCAGAAACCCTTTGAAATCCAGACCTCTGCCACCCAGAGGTGGCCCGTCCCTTTCCCTCGGCTGTACGGTCTTCCAACTTCTGCCTAGCTTCAGGGAAAACAGCAAGGCAAACCCTTAAACCCTAAAGCCCTAACCCCTAAACCGTAAACCCTAAACCCTACACCCTAAACCCCAAAACCCAAAACACTAAACCCTAAAACCCCTAAACCCTAAACTGCCCTAAATCCCTAAAAACTTCACCTTAAACCCTATAACCCCAAAGCCCTCAACCCGAGGGCCTGGAGTTTGCAGATCTGCCGGCGAATGTAGTGCCTAGACTCCCAGAAGAGTTTGAGACTTAGGGTTTTGGGTTAAGGGTTTAGGGTTTAGGGTTTAGGGTTTGGGCTTGAGGCTTGAGGGTCGGAATTGAGGCTTGAGGGCTTGGGGCTGAGGGTTGAGGGGTTAGGGTTGAGGGGTTAGGGT